ACTGTAATTTATTTCTGTGATCAAAGCTGAATTTCCAGCATCATTACTCCAGTCTTCAGTGTCACATGATCTTCAGAAATCATTCTAATATTCTGATTTGCTGCTCAAGAATTTCTGATTATTATCAATGTTGAAAACAGTTGTGCTGCAGAATAATTGTGTGGAAACTGTGATACATTTTATTTTTCAGGATTCTTTGATGAATAGAAAGTTCAAAAGAACAGCATTTATTTCAAATAGAAATAGTTTGTAACTTTATAAATGCCTTTACTGTCACTTTTGATCAATTTAATGGGCCCTTGATGAATAAATGTATTCATTTCTTTAAAATTCTTTATTATATTGTGTAAAGACAAGGAACACGGATGATAAGGAAACTTAATGGCCAAATAAAAAGTCCATTATCATGATGCCTTTTGTTAGAATTCCATCTTTTAGAAAAATGAGTATAAAATAAACACAATTGCGATGTGTGTTTGTGATGAATGTGCAGGAGGGCCTTCAGAAGGGAAGCTGATCCCAGGAGACGAGATAGTGATGATAAATGAGGAGGCCGTGAGTTCGGCTCCACGGGAACGAGTCATTGACCTGGTCAGGTACTGAACTCAATCAAATGGTTACTGTCGTTCATCATCTACAACCTGTGTTATTCAGCTGAAGTCACTACATGCTGACAGACAATAACAGTACAGAGAGAGTCTTCATTGCTCAGTACAGACTGTGGTCCCAAAAAGAGTCAAATGTCATTGTATTAGATCAGGGTTTCTCAAACTAACCCTGATTCCATCTAGAGAATTTCTTATCGTTGTCTTTCATTATTTTTTGCAGAAGTTGTAAGGAGTCCATCATCCTGACCGTGGTGCAGCCGTACCCTGTAAGTCAACATACTGACTGTTTTGCATGTTAGTTTGTCAGCGCTGTGGCTAATTTGATGATGCAGTTATCAACCGATAACACTGTGGTTAAATTCTTTAGAAGTCCACAGAAAACACTAATTAAAAAGTCTGCAGATCAGTGTTATTTTAGTTATTTCATGTTGTTTTCTTATCAGTGATACACTATACAATATGTTTTGTTGATATGTTGAATATTTCCTGTTTTCACTTTAATTTTACTTAAAGTTTTAGTAATTTTATTTTGCCATTATTATTTTTCAATGTTTAGTTTTTATTAATTGTTATTTATTAGTTTTCATTATTTTAGTACTTAAACTTATTTTATTTCAGCTAGTCACAAAGGCATCATTTTCATTTGGTTTTAGTTGTGCTTCTGTAATTTTTTATTAGTTTTTTTATATATATGTAGTATATTCACTTTTATTTATTTGTTTTAATAATTGTAATACTTATTTTATTTCAGCTAGTTGCCAAGGCACCATTTTCATTTAGTTTTGTTGTGTTTTTGTCTTTGTTTTAATGTTTATATTTTGTTATTTCTTTTTATTTATTAGTTTTAATTATGTTAATACTTATTTTATTTCAGCTAGTTGCCAGGGCACCATTTTTGTTTAATTTTGTTTTTGTCATTTTTATTAGTTATTTTTAATGCTTATATAGTTGCATTCATTTTTATTTATTAGTTTGAATTATTTTAGTACTCAGTTAGTTTCTAAGGCACCATTTCTCATTTTTGTTCAGTTTAAGTTTTTTTTTTTATATATATATTATATTTCAGTTAACATGTACTTTATTGCAAGGAACAAAAATATATATTTTTTATGGTTTTAGTTTTAGTTGACGCTAATAACCCTGCTGCGGATTCCATCTGGATCTGCTTCTTATTTTCTGGCTCAGCTCTTAGGCATAAGATAATGACTTGATAGCATTGATATTTCAGTAATTTTCCTGCTTTTGTTCCTCTGTTATTCCCATCCAGTTGCCCAAATCTGCCTTCATCAGTGCAGCTAAAAAGGCCAAGTTGAAATCCAATCCGGTCAAAGTGCGCTTTGCTGAAGAAGTCATTATTAACGGACAAGAACCTGTAAGTGAAAAATAACACGTTTTGCTTAAAAAGCATGTCATATATCACAGTATTTACAGCTGTTTCAAAGGGTTTGTTTTAAGTGTAAAGATCTCAATTGTCTTTCGCAACCAATTTTACTTGCGTAATCTGACATTTCTAAGTGAAAGCCAGATATTCAGTGAGACACACTTTAGGGTTTTGATTATAATCATCTGAGATTGATTGGATTGTGAAAAGTGGACGTTATGCACCAGAATGAAGTCATGTGATTAGAATAAGAGGACTGATATCATCAGCCGGAAAGTGATTTTAGCTCTAGAGCAAATTTTTGCATTGTGATGAAAGATTATGAAGACGCACGTTACATAAATCAGTGTTCATTCATACTGTATGTCTTAATTAGTGGCACAACAAGAGGTTAATGATTCATCACAGGGATGTGAATCACTGACAGATCAGCGAACAGATAAAAGCCACTTTAGCTGTGTATTATTCAGGAGATATTAGAAACATGACGGAGTGTTTTCATCCGCAGGAGACTGTGAAGGATAATTCTCTGCTCTTCATGCCAAACGTCTTGAAGGTGTATCTGGAAAACGGACAAACAAAGTCCTTTAGGTTTGACTGCAACACCTCCATTAAGGTATTTCAGCACTGCAGTATTTACAAATCACTGTTGATGCTCCATATCAGCAAAAACACTCTGCATACAGTATATATGGAGTAATACAATTAATGGTAGCAAGCTATTTTTTTAAAAGAAATGAATACTATTACCGTATTGACCCGAAATTTTACCAGTTTTTACCATACTTTCAAAACAAAAATTAAAATAGGAAAAATATGCAATATGAAAATAATTGAAGACAAAATGTGTTTTACTGAGAAAAAACAAGATTTGGTTTTTAAAAAGCCTTTTTCCAAAAGGTACATCTGAAAAAAGGGGGGTCGTCTTATATTCGGGCCAATACGGTATTTATCAAGGATGCATTAAATTGATTAAAAGTGACAGTGAAGACATTTATAATGTCATAAAAGATTTATATTTCAAACAAATGCTGTTCATCTGTGAATCCTGAAAATTCAAATGTATCACAGTTTGCACAAAAACATACATCTGCATAACTGTTTTCATCATTGATAATACTCAGAAATGTTTCCCGAGCAGCAAATCAGCATATTATACTGATTTCTGAAGATCATGTGACACTGAAGACTGCAGTAATGATGATGAAAATTCAGCGCTGCATCACAGCAATAAATTACATTTTAACAGATATTCACATAGAAAACAGCTGTTTTGAATTGTAATAATATTTAACAATTTTTACTGTATTTTTGATCAAATAAATGCAGCCTTGCTGAGCCCTAAAAAAATCTTACCGAGCTCAAACTTTTAAACGGTAGTGTATTTTATGCAATATTGCGTAATTTGAAAGTAAATCAAATATATTTGAAAACGTATAATTGACAAGTCTGATATTAGACAAATATACAAAATGTACAAATGTGTAAACTTATGTACGAATGCAAATATTAGTTTCAAAATAAATCCCTCTGACTTGATTGTAAGTAGATTGTATTACATTTTAAAATGTTCGTAATCAGAATACAGTTACTTTGTATGGATTACATGACTACATATTCACACAATATACAGTATATATATATACATATATCAGTATGGTACACAATAATCCCATTTAAATCTATGTGATAAACAGGTTAGGTCAGAAGTAATCAAAAAGTAGTAGGAAGACATTAACTAAACTGAGTAAGCTAATCGATTGTTAATAACTACAATTTGTAATCAGTAACAAACTGCTATTTGCAAGTAATCGACCCACCACTGAATGTATAATAGAAAATGTTTGTTCATTTGTTAAGCCATTTCTGATGCCGTTATCATGTCACGTGTTGGTGGTGTTGAACATGAATAACAGATGTTCTTCTGTTTGAAAGGATGTCATTCTGACCCTGCAAGAGAAGCTGTCTATTAAAAGCATTGAGCACTTCTCTCTGACGCTGGAGCACAAGATGGAAGGATCTGCAACAAAGCTAATGCTTCTGCACGAGCAGGAGATGCTAACGCAGGTTTGTTGTGCTGGTGAATGATGTTTCTGAGCCGCTACTGAATCTGAGTGCCACAGCATGATGCTGAAGCTTCAAGCAGTTAAATATGATGAGAGAATAAATAGAGAAATACATTAATGAATGATTGTTTTTTAGGTGACACAAAGGCCGGGCTCACATAAAATGAAATGCTTTTTCCGCATCAGTTTCCTTCCCAAAGATCCGGTGGATCTTCTCAGGAGAGACGCTGTTGCGTTCGATTACCTCTACGTTCAGGTAACACATCTTTTGAAATGTCGTCTTTTAAAACTGAACACCGGATGCTTCCCATTCTCATCCTCAGAAAAAATATCCATATTATTCAGCCTGATATATCAGAAACCAATCAGATTTTGTTTGTTAATCAGGTTTACATTTAACATTATTTCTTGAATTTCTTTATGCAATGTTTGTGCAATTAGAAGATGCAGTGTGATACAAAATAATCAGCATATGCATGTAAAATTGCTACTGTAAATTGTAAGGAAGGATGTATCACTTTAAGAATATATGTTGTTCGCAGTATAGTTGGTGTTAATGGAGTATGAACGGTGAAGGAAAGCCTTGTTTGTCATGTAGCCCTAATTGGGGTTATGATATTAAAGGAATAGTTCACCCAAAAATTTAAAATGTGCTCATCCTCAGGCCATCCAAGATCAGGATCAGTTTGTTTCTTCATCAGATTTGGAGAAATGTAGCATTGCATCACTTGCTCACCATTGCAGTGAATGGGTGCCGTCAGACTGAGAGTCCAAACAGCTGATAAAAACATCACAATAATCCACAAGTAATCCACAGCACTCCAGTCCATCAGTTAACATCTGGAGAAGACAAAAGCTGCGTGTTTGTCTGAAACAAATCCATCATTAAGACGTTTTTAACTTCAAACCGTTGAGTCCATAATTCATAATAATGCTTCCTCCAGTGAAAAAGTGGTCTGGTGTGAATCAGGAGAGAAATCTGCACAGATCAAGCAGCGTTTAAACAGCTCTAAACAAATATGTGGCTGGATTTTGATGTGAGAGACAACAGCAGATGCACTTTTTCACTGGAGGAAGCGTTATTATGGATTATGGACTCATATTTTAGCCAGAAACAAGTTAAAAATATCTTAGTGATGGATTTGTTTCAGCTTTTGTCTTCTCCAGATGTTAACTGATGGACTGGAGTGCTGTGGATTACTTGTGGATTATTGTGATGTTTTTATCAGCTGTTTGGACTCTCATTCTGACGGCACCCATTCACTTGCAGTGAGACACTGATGCAATGCTACATTTCTCCAAATCTGATGAAGAAACAAACTCATCTACATCTTGGAAGGCCTGAGGGTGTCATTTTCAGCCAATTTTCATTTTTGGATGAACTGTTCCTTTCAGTTTGTCACATCTGAGGGAAGGGTTACGTCTGCTAAACCACGCTGTGTATTTATTCTGGTTTGCAGAGCTGTAAGGACGTGGTGCAGGAGCGTTTTGGCTTTGAGCTCAAATACGACACAGCGCTTCGCCTGGCTGCTCTCCAGATGTACATCCTGACGCTCAGCACCAAACAAACGCAGAAAGTCTCACTGAAATACATTGAGTGAGTGTTCAGCGGTCATGGAGTAACAAAATTAAAAATGTTTTTATGCTCGCCTTCATGTTGTTCTGTTTATCCCAACAAATGGTCAAGCAAAGTGCACGACACTGACAAGGTACGCCATACAGTACGAGACCAAACGCCATTTCAGCACGTCTCCACAGTAAACAAAACACAAATTTGTTCCAAACACAAATACACAACACATTTTTTATAAGAGCCTTCATGCAGCGTTTTTTTTGCACAATGACTCAAACTCCAAAACGGACAAAAATGAAAGTCAAGATGCAGTAACAGGCATTTCAGAAATTTGTTTTATTTGTCAAGCATTGAAAATTACTTGGAATATAGTGAACTAGTCATATGAGCTACTTCTACAGTGCTTTTTATGTTTTTTTGGTGGTGATCAACTGTATAAATAATCAACTTTCGATAAAAAAAAAAGTGTGGTTTTCACTCAGAAATCGCTGGTAAACTTTACAAATAATTACAAAGGTCAAGTAACCAGGGATATTATTAACTTAGACTAAATCTGAAACTAAAACCATTAAAATTACATTTTCATGCATATTTCAGCTAAAAATATGGCAACATTGCTTAATTTAATTTAGTTTTACTTGATGTACTAAAATGATTAAAACGAAAACTGAAATAAAAATGAATAAAAACTATATAGACCTATTTAAAAAAAATACAAATACTACTAAAAAGGACAAAAACACAATAAAATTACTAAAACTTCAACTAAAATTAAAATGAAAACTATATAGAAATATAAAAATAAAAAAAACAATTAATAAAAATTATATCTCAATACTAAAATAAATAACTGAAATAAAATAAAAATTTATTTCAGCTAGTTGCCAAAGCCAATCAACTTAATTTAGTTTAACCTGTACTAAAATAACTATAAGTAAAATAAAAATGTATAAAAACAATGTAGATATAAAAAAAAAAAATACTACTAAAAATGACAAACGCAACAAAATTACTAAAACTTTAAGTAAAATTAAAATGAAAACTATATAGAAAAATAAAAATGCATTCAAAATATTAATAAAAACTATAATAGTATCTCAATAATAAAATAACACTGCGAGTAACACATTCAATTAAATGTGAAATTTTGAAGTAGGAACACTGATCGTTTTTTCTTGTAAAACACACATCTTTCAATTTCTACACTGTATGAACAGCAGAAGCTCAGATGTTCTTCCTAATCTTCTCCATTTGTGTTTCACCAAAGAAAGAAAATGATTCGGGTTTGATCTGCATGAGGGCGAGGAAAACGTTTCGGCTGGTTGTTCCTTTAAATGAGAAGAAAAGATGAAAAGCGTTTGACTGATGCGACGAGCGCTTGAATTCAGCGTGAAAGCTCTTGTGTCTTTACAGAAAGGAGTGGGGTCTGGCGCAGTTCCTGCCTCCAGCGGTTCTGTCCAGCATGAAAGAGAAGAACATCAAGAAAGCGCTCACACACATCCTGAAAACCAACCAGAACCTGGTGCCTCCTGGCAAAAAGGTGAAGAAACTTTCACAGCTCGATGTACATATGAAAAGTGGAATTCCAATCGATCTTTTCAGCTGCCTTTGAAAATCCTGATTCCTCAATGCATAATATAATACGGATTAGGATTTTCACAACAGCAGTACCAGTCAAATTTCACGAGTCTCAGTACAACTATCATAGCAAAGACTAATACTGTATGCTGTTGAATATAACGCTTTATTTAAACATTTTTAGCATATACAAGCATATATAAATAGACTTGTATTTAAATATAAAAATTGTATGGAAGAAAAATAATGACAAATGTATTTGAAACAAAAACTCAAGTTGAATTGCTCTAACTGTGCTCTATCTATGTGATTGACACTTTCTGTTCCCTAATTCTGCTGGGATTTGTGCTGTGTGTTGAAGCTGACGGCGCTGCAGGCGAAGGTTCACTACCTGAAATATCTGAGTGATCTCCGGCTGTACGGAGGACAAGTGTTTAAGTCCACGCTGGTCGTAAGTGCAAAGATACGCATTCTCAGAGCTGTCATTACATCAGCAGCTGAGACCTTTCAGTGCAGATCCAGATGTTTAAAGGTACAGGTGTATTTCAGAAAGGTTCAAACATCTTTTGAGCAGATTCAGGCCAATAAACTATTTTCATTTCCTAGCATATGAAGTATATGAATTTTATTGATTGCTGTTTTGCTGTTATTTCTGTTTTTTTTTTTAAAGAAAATGATTTCTAATGATTTTATTTTCTTGTTAGTAAAATAATTAAATTATAAACAAATCAATAATGATTCACACTGTATTTTTGTTTCTAGCTTAAGTATAGGATTTTTTTTGTTTTGCTTTTATTTCTGTTTTGTAAAGACAATTTGATTTCTAATGATTTTATTTTTGTGTTATAAACAAATAATGTTTCACACTATTTTCATTTTCTAGCATATGACGTATGATTTTTTTTTTTTTTAGTTTTGCGGTCATTTCTGTTTTGTTAAAAAAATATTTCTAATAATTTTATATTCTTGATAAAATTATATAAAAAACTATGATTCACACTATATTTTCATATTCTAGCATGTGAAGCATATGATTTGTTTTAGTTTTGCTGTTATTTCTGTTTTGTAATGAAACTATGATTTCTAATAATTAATATAATAATAGTATATACAGAAATAATATTAGAATTAATAATAATTCTAATAATTTTATTTTTGTTAAATATCAAATTATAAATAAATATTTCACACAGTATTTTCATTTTCTAGCGTGTGAAGTTGTGATTTATTTAGTTAGTTAGTTTTGCAGTTATTTCTGTTTAGTAAAGAGAGCTTGATTTCTAATGATTTTCATGTAAAAAATTATTATTAAATTATAAACAAATCAAAAATGATTTCACTGTATTTTTGTGTTCTAGATAATTCTAATAATTTTATTTTTGTTAAATATCAAATTATAAATAAATATTTCACACAGTATTTTCATTTTCTAGCGTGTGAAGTTGTGATTTATTTATTTAGTTAGTTTTGCAGTTATTTCTGTTTAGTAAAGAGAGCTTGATTTCTAATGATTTTCATGTTAAAAATTATTATTAAATTATAAACAAATCAAAAATGATTTCACTGTATTTTTGTGTTCTAACATCATTTTCTATATGATTAGTTTTTTGTTTTGCTGTTATTTCTGTTCGGTAAAGAGAACTTGATTTCCAGTATTTTTTTGTTTAAAAAAATGTATAAGCTCTTTGCCAAGTTTAACTAAAGAAGTTGACAGATCAAGGATAAATATGTTTTTGTTGAGCTCTGCAAACATTATTGATTTTAGATTTACAAATATACTCCTCTCTATTATAACTTGCACTTATTTAAATGATAATACAAATGTGTTGTTTTAGTACATTAGCTTCAGGTGCTGAAATCTGAAGCCAATTCAAGCATGTTTCACACCGCTGTATTTGTGATCTGACAGCAAGGAGAGAAACACACGGAGGTGACGCTGCTGGTGGGGCCGCGCTACGGCATCAGTCACGTCATCAACACTAAAACCAACCTGGTGGCGCTGCTGGCCGACTTCAGCCACGTCAACCGCATCGAAATGTTCACGGAGGACGAAAGGAACGTGCGAGTGGAGCTTCACGTCCTGGATGTTAAGGTGCGATTGATAAAAACAAAGAAGAGTATCATGTGTTTGCAGAAAACACTTGATTTAATTTTTTTTTCTCTTAATGCAATGACATTCAAACATTTTTAAATGTTGCTAAATATTTTTTTTTGGGTTATTGACCTCCACATGCATTACACATTATAGCAATATTAAGGACAACATCCCTTTTATTCCGCATCCCTTTCATCCAGTCGTGATAATGAAATCATGAATTAATAATTCATATTTACAATTGCATTACTTTATAAAACAGATAGTTAAGGCAGTATGCATTATTTTAAGTTTGCTACATTGCTTTGCATGTGTGAACTAAAAACAATATTACTTCGACTATTAATATTGATAAATTATTGATCAATTAAAACTATTTATTGACTATTTACCACATGCATTGCTACAATTGTATGCAATATTAAGGACACATAACAATGCAACATCCCCTTTTTCCAATTCCTATTATGAAAATGTGAATTAATAATTCGTTAATTTGAATGCTTAATTTTATAAAACAGATAGTTAAGTCAATAAATGCAATATATTAAGTTTGCTACATTACCAGTGTGAGCTAAAACCGTATTAGATGGCAGATTATTTCAATTATTAATAAATTATTGATAATTTAATACCATTTATTGACTATTTACCGCATACATTACATCACTTATATACAATTTTAAAGACACATAACAATTCAACATGTCTTTTATTCAATGCTTATTATGAAAATATAAATGCAATATATAGTTTGCTACATTGCTTTGTAAACATGAACTAAAACTATATTGCTTGTCAGATTATTTTTGATTATTATTAAATTATTGATAAACTATTTATTGCCTACTTACCACATGCATTACACTAGTTTAATTCAACACATAATTCAATATCCCTTTTATCCAGTGCCAATGAAAACATGAATTAATAATTCATAGTTACTGACATATGCATGCTTCGTTTTATAAAACGGATGGTTAGGTCAATAAATGCAATACATTTGCCACATTGCTTTGCAAGCATGAACTAAAAGCTGTTAATATTAATGAATGTAACTATTTATAAAAAAAAAAGAAAATGCAGATGCTACCGTTTTTTTAAAAGAGCAATAAGCTGCTCAAAGTCATTTGTTACTGTAATTTAACCACCGCTAAGGGAGTTTTAGGATCACTAAAATCATTTTAACTGCACAGCCTCCCATTGCTTACTGCTGTATTTACTGATCATTTATGCATTTCTTCTGCAAAACATTTCTTTCTGTAGCCCATCACACTTATAATGGAATCCAGTGACGCTATGAACCTGGCGTGTTTGACTGCCGGTTATTACAGGCTGCTGGTCGATTCACGGAGGTCCATCTTCAACATGGCGAACAACAGTAACACTGCAGGTAAGAGCATGTACATGCACTAAATAATATATAACAGTTCATTTATCATCTTGAAATCAACTCAACTCAAAGTAGCACCAGCAAACTTTAAATGATGAATTTATGGTTAACACTTTACAATAAGGTTCCATTAGTTAAAGTTGATTAATGCATTTACTAACATTAATTAGCAATGAGCAATACATTTGTTACAGTATTTATTTGTTATGGCAAATTATGTAACAAAAATACAGCTGTACATTGTTAGGTCATGTTAGTCTATTAAAATAATATTAACAGGTTTTAATAATGCATTATTAAATGTTGAAATTAAATTAACTAAATTAACATGCAAGATGCAAACTGAATAATAATTATTTTCCCACTTCAATAACTATTGTTTTTATTGAAGAACACACAGTTCTTGAAACGTCTGTAATCACAAAATCAATCATGATTAAATTAATTTAATATACTGTATCAACACTTACAGTTTATGTTAACAAAATAGTTTGAAAACAACCAGCTTTGTCATAATTACAGCTGACATACTTGACAAAAATATTTTTGCTAATATAACATAATATTTTGGCCAATATAATGGGCCTTGGAATATTATGTTGGACAGTGGGTGTCCTAAGAGTCAAAAAGTTTAAGAAACCACTTAATTAAATTGTTTTGGTGTGAATCTGATACTTTAATAACTCATTGACACTGGTGTCTTCTCCTTTTTTTGTTTACGTCTAAGGACAAGACTCAAGGGTCAAGCACAACTACCAGGCAATTGACTGGAATTACGGTTCCTGCAGTGCATGTGATGAGCCCCACCACGAATACGCCATCTGTGGGCGAAGAGAGTTTGATATTTCCCCCACAGTCTCTGAAATGCACCAGCCGCAGCATCGCATGCACGGGGATGGGGAGAGGGTGAGCAGAGGAAGTCACATGCATCCTCAGCCCTACTTCAGTGTCCCAAAAGGCAAACCTCAAGAGTCGCCCAGAAGCGCCAAGGTGTCCTTCATATTCAGCGATCCTCCACTGGACTTTGTGAACCCTCAGAACTTGGGATACCAAAGACTGATGGAGGACATCCCAGAAGTGCTGGAGGAACACCGATACATGTACGCGCAACAGAAGGACTACAAGCCGCTGGAAGCATCAATGGAGGTCGACGGCTTCCAGTACGGTTCCAACATGGTCTATGGGGACGCCAAGATCTTCGGTACGACGGAAGGCATCGAGGAGCCTTTGCTGCGCGATATCTGCTACGCCGAGACTACGGATGACGCCGAGGATGACGATGACATTAGTTGCGAGGAGGACATGATGATGATGATGATGGAAGAGATGAAGGACAAGGTGAACTCTCTCCTGTCGCTCTCGGAATCGAGCGACGACATTATTGACCTCACTTCGCTTCCGCCGCCACCGGAGGGCAACGACGAGGAGGACAGCGACGACCTGCTGCAATCGCTAAACTTGGCAATTGCCGCTCCGCCACCAGGGTTCAGGGATAGTTCAGATGAAGATGATCACCAAGAGCGAAAAGGCTTAAAAAACGACATCCCTGTGTCGCTGATCGATTCGGTTCCAACGCAAGTGGCCGGTGGAACCGAGGAAGTGTTCAATGACGCCGTTGTCTCCACACTACAAGCTCTAGAGGCCTTGGCGGCCTCTGAGGAACAGTCTCATCCACAATCGGACAATAGTTCAGGTTCTTACACTATAGTAACGTTTATTCATTGACGTTGTACAACCTTCCAGCCATTCCTTTATTTTGGTTTCGTTGTTCCGTATTCCATTGTCTTCAATGCAAACTCCATGCCATGTATTGTGTGTGCATTCGTTTTATTAGCAATGTAAATGTGATCTCCTTATAATTTGTGGTTAATTTTTGTTCATGTATTTCATTATTTGTGTTCTTATTTGTTGCATTTCATAGCCTTCAACGTTTTGTACAAATAAACTATTTTAAAATATACGTGTGTATGGTGTGATGGCTAAAATGTTTGTCTCTTTGTGACACACAGGTGTAGAAATATCTCGGTCCTTTAGCCCTGAGTCCTCCTCTGATTCTGGGAACGAGACAAATTCGTCCGAAATGACGGAGAGCTCGGAGCTGGCCGCAGCTCAGAAACTCTCCGAAAACTCTCTGAAAATGTTAGTAGCCACAGCCGAAGGGTACCAAACTCTAGCCGAAGAGGAGACCGAGTTTCGATTGGTGCCGTGTGAGGTACGGGTGTCTCTAGACGACTCCCAGTCCGCCGCGGTTGCCACTCTCCGCTCGGACCATTTCGAAATGGAGCCAGAAACAATGGAAACCAAGTCGTTGACGGACTACTTCAACAAAATGCACAGGGACGTGATGATGGGAATGTCACAGGGGAAGATCAAGGAGCAAGACGGCGGGATGAAATTGTGCGCCCAAGCGGAAGCCCGTCAGATGAATATCACAGAATCGGAGGATCTTGTTGGGATGTACAACAACTTCAATGGACGGGATTCCCAACGTTCAGGTCCCTTTGACTTGGAGAGGATGTCTTACGCTTTTCAAGAAAGCAATCAAAGATTGCATATGATTTTGAATAATAAATCTGAAGAGCATATTTACTCTGAGGTGGTTGGCGATGGCGGTCCATTGCATGCAGACAGGGTAACGCAAAAAGTCAGTTTGAAGGACTCGATAGACTTGAACACAAGTTCCCCCGCCAAAAAACAATATATGATTGAGAGAGCCCGGAACGAACATCAACAGCGCAAGGTGGCTTCATCCGAACAGGAAGTGACACGGTTATACGAGTACCACTTGTCCAAAAGGATGTCGGCTTTACAGAGCGAGGGAATTCATTCCCTGCAGAGTTCCCAGTGTTCGTCCATCGATGCCGGCAGCAGTACAGGAAGCAGTAGCTGCGTGACACCAATGGACTCTCCTCTGTGCACGGTAGATAGCGTCCATCTGCACGGAGAGTCCTCTCTGAAAGGTCTTGGATATCCAACTCAGAACATAGATGAAACGTTTTTGCGGAAGCACCATGGACAGGCTGGCCAAGAGTCGGGCCGAGAGGGATGCCAAAGGTTGCCCAAGATCAGGGAAACTACAGGTACTGCAAGCTTGAAACTTTAACAAGTCAAATGTTACATTCAACTAACCTAATGACACGGTTATATTTCTGTTAATTTCTGTTACGTAGAAACTGCAAAGCTTGACCATGTGGAATTAGAGACTCACATTGTTGGTCAGCAGCTGAATCATTTAACAATTTGTTGGAGCTGGTGAGCAAGTTAAGGGTTTTTGTAGCCCTCGTCTTGATTTAAACTGAAGCTAACCTAATCTGACTAATTGTCCCACAAAGTGTTGGGAAAACTAGCTTGAGCAGAAGTTTTTGAAGTACTGTGAGTTTCAGTATATTCTTCATTCTAACTTCTTTTGCCTTGCATAACTAATGGTAAAAATAAATTTCCTTTGACATACGATACTACTTAATCATGAATAGCATAATAGACATTTTTTATGAGAAACTGTATTTGAAATGAATAAGGATCATTAAATACCGATACAACAAGAACACAATAAATGTATTTATTATGACTAATTTTATTTGACATGCACACAGAAGCGCACTGTGTTAGCTTGGGTTCATTAACAAAGAAATTAATCACATAATATGCTCTCTCTTAAAATGTAAACGAGTCTAACTGTCAATCTTATACTGTATGTCTAAAGAATTTAAGTTTGTCAGGTAAAACAAGAGCTTATTAATGCAATTCAATTTGATATTTTATTCCAACCATTACTCCTGGTCAGAGGCTTCCATAAATAGTTATGTTTTAACTGCATTTAAAGGTGCAATGGAAAAACATTTAGTAGTGCATAAGTTGCAACTTAGTACTCCTTTATGTCAAAACTAGGCTAAGTTGTAATTTGCGCAAAACTGGTGCAACTGGCCCCTGGACTCTTGCCCACTAAAGGACATACAAGTTGTTGTTTTGAAGTCATTCCTGTGTATCTTTGGCTTTATGCTTGGGGTCTTGCTGGAAAACTAATTTTCCTTGAGTACCAGGTGTCTTGCTGACTCCATCAGGCTTCATGATTTTCCTATATTTTGCTGCATTTATTTGGCCCTCCAGCCTCAAAACCTTCAAAAGAAGATCCTCACAGCATGAGTCACTGTGGAGACGGTGTATTTCTGATTATACATTATTTGGCTTATGCTAAAATGTTGTTTAGTCTGATAGGTTAGTCTTCAGAGGCTCCCACATGTCTTCTGGCATAACTGTAACAGAGATATTGCATGATGTTTTTAACAGTAGCTTCTCTTCAGCGGTAGCAGCAGTTGTTATTTGCACAGTCTTGGAGCTTGTAACTCTTTCAGACTTGTCATTGGTCTCTAGGTGTCTTCCCTCACCGTCTCCTCCATGCACAGTGACACACCATTTGAGGACGCCCTGCTCTTGGTGCATTTACTTCTGCGTCATATTTTCCCATTTCTTAATTATCGATTTAACTGCTACTCCAAGGGAAGCTCAAAGACATGGAAATCCCTGCCTGGTGCTTTTCAATTACTGTTTCGTAGAGCTGTTGGAGGTTTTTTTCTTCATGGTCTTCCACAGTGATGACTCACTTATGATACAATCAGTTGAAGGTACTTGAGTACACAAAAGCTATTTAACTTATGTGACTTACAACCAAAAGGTAGCACCAGTGGCGAGTCTGACATGTCATATTAAAAGGGGGTGAATATTTATGCCAATTATAAAAGGGCATGGAAAAAAAATACTATGGAAGTCAATGGCTATCAGCAACTGCTTGGTAGCCGACTTTCTTCAAAATATTTTCTTTTGTGTTCAATAGAAGAAAGGAATTCTAACCAGTTTGGAACAACATGAGGATAAGATTTTCATTTTTGTGTGAACTATTCCTTCCATTACCATTTTAAAACGTAGTTAGCTACACTTTTAGTTAGTAATGAAAAGTAGCTAACTACATTTAAGGGTGCAGTGTTTTTGTGTTATGAAAATAGCTGTGCAAATGAATTAAATTGATGTTTAATATTGATTAAAAGTGAAAATATTCACGCTTTAGAGTCAGTGTGCTGTAAGTCAGATTGCAATTCTATACGGTACCACTAGTGGCGCAGAAATTGACCACTTCACCTTTTAATCAGGAATTACTATTTTGCAGATTTTAAGTCTTAGGATGTAATTAGAATTCCCTGATTTGAAACATTAAGCCTTGTGTAGACCGTTTCTGAAGTATCCTGGGCAGGATCATTGACGTCATTCATTTCGGTCATTAGCTTATCATGCTGAATCAGGATGAGCAGGAACTCTGAGGGGGATTTCAGAGATCCAGAAGCATGAAATTATGAGACATTATACTGGCCGACTAATTTATCCCTCTCTTTTTCCTCCCCCAGTGTAGCATGCTGCAGATGGAGATAAAACAGAAGAATCGTCGTCTTCTCTCACGATATGTCCATATTCATCCATAGCACAGTTTCCTATGTGCCAAATCAGAGGTGATCGGAGGTCTTGAATGCTTCTCTGTTTATTCTTGCACTTGGCCTCAAATGACCCCCGCTCTGGTTGCCTCAGGGAGCCAGAAAGGGAATCTTAATAAGACAACTATTGGCTCAGGGAGCATTGACACTTTTTATGGAAACTGCAACTTGTAGATGGCGGTAATCAACCATGGAAGGATTACAACCCTGCCGTTCCTAAAGTCAACATGAAACTCAAAACCCATGTTACTGCCATAATGTGACACTTTGTTGTATCCACCAGATTTGGATTGCGAAAAGTAGGCATTTTGTGCCAGAATTGTTGGAGAGGAGTTGGAATGACACAAATGTGCATTAAGAAAGTAAATGGGGTGAATTTTGATTTCTTGTTGACTTTAATCTTCTGAAGTGGAAGCGAATGACAGATGGTTTGACGTTCTGCACAGAAAACAAGTTTAAGACAACAAGCATTGGAACAAGGCAAGTTCATCTCCTGATTCTTTTGGACGACACACAATCCAGACATACGAACTGTGCATTGCTCTGAGAAATTCTTGCACTGGTCACTTAATATGTCTATTTTAGCCACATTTCTCAAAGAAAGCATGTGCGGAGCTTTTGTGCTCTGAGGATTTTTTGTTAAGCAGCAAAAGGACATTTTGAAGCGCTAGCTGAAGCGATTCAGGAAGTCACTTTATTTACTTTGCGTGGAGGCTTTGGAAAGTTATTTTGATGACCAAAGCAAAACTACATTTGCATTCGGTACGCTGTTATTTGGTTGCAGCAATGGCCATATGTCGAAAATCACTGCTTTTATTTAGCCATATTAAAGCCATATGATATCCCGCATACTGTACGTTTGTCATGAAGATTGAGATAATCCGGCCATTGCGATCCACTGTGATAACAGTGCTTGTGTATATTTTGTGTAATATGTAAAATGAAAAGGAAGTATTCTACAATACATAGAATTTTTAAAAGACCGTTTAAACCACAGCACCTGATAGACACATCCATTTTGTTCTATGTGTTTATTTTAAACTTCATAACAGAAGAGCTTCACATTCAAAAATATGAAAATGTAAGCCACTATATGATCTGTAAACTGTTATTATGTTCGCAACTTGCACAGTTTCATTTGCCGTTCTTATTTGACTGGCTAATGCATATATTTACTTAAGTAATTTAAAGTCAACATGAAGTATCATTCTCCATCTATTTTACTACTGTCATCTGACATATTTCCCAGTGTAATTTTATCAAGAAAAGGACAGGATTTTATCTGTGAGGATGGTGAAAGTGAATGGTAAATAATTTTTGTGCTTAAGTTACTAAATTTTGATGAAATATTACAACAGATTGTTGTTATTTATTTAGAATAACATGCACTGATGAGTCATTCCCAGTAAAACCAGGAAAGTTATTTAAGAATGTAAGTAGGTCCATTTTGATTTCATGTTGACTTTAAATAATAAACGTAATGTATTTTAGTTGAATCATCTTCATTAAATATTTCAGCTTGAAAACTGATCTCGTGCTGTCTTTCTTTTATTTCCTGTCATATGCCAGTAATTAATTTATAAATAGCGTGTGAATGACATAGTTTGAAATATTCTTCCGTCTTTCTTTTCTCTAATTTTTCTTCCTCTCCTTGTGTGCTGAAGAAGCCACTGTTGTGTTGGACAGAGATAATATTTTTGGTCATTTCATAATTGAAGTGCTTCACTTTTTCTGGTTTTGCTTTCATTTATGAGGAAATCATAGCAGTACTTGAGCAAACCCCTGACATTTGTTTGCTTAATCTCTAGTACAGAAACTCGTCCCATGAGATAAAGGACGAAAGTAATGTTGTTCCTCTTTATGGTGGTGTTTCAGTGACAATATTGTTCTAATGACATATAATTCATTAATTATACATCATAAAAATTTAAGATAACAATGCTGATAGGTAATAGTTGGGTAATATAATCACTTTACATAATTACAAGGAAAAAGATTCAGAACAACTTTGTTTGCAAGGGGAAGTTATGTTGTTTAAATATATCCACTCTCACTTTTGTTTGTAATTTTTTTGTGGTTTAACATTGGTCAATAACACCTGTTCTTCAAGTAGCACAGGGTGTACAACTTGACAAACCAGCAAAAGTACCGAACAACAAGTCACAAACGTCAAAAAAGAATCCCAGGTCTGATGAAGATGGTGAGTAATTGAATGTTTATTTCATTTACAGTAATCAGCTCTCTCATATAATGATTGTCTCAAAACAAAGATGCTCTGAGGTAGTTACTGCAAGTGCATTTTTTAATATGCAGCTTATTCATTAAATGTCATGTTTATTTCCTGAATGTTTTAAAATTTTTGTTATTTTCATTTATTTAAAACTATATCAGAAATATCAGCTAGACCAAAATCTACTTTTTTTTTTTTTTTTTTTACATTTTGTACACTGATTTTGGTGGGAAATATTTGTTTTGTTACTGTAAACATGTAAAATGTGTTAAACAGGGCTATGTAAAGATCTGCAGGCCAAAAACATACTTCATTCACTCATGTATATATATGGTACCTTTTCAAAATGTACTAACATGTACAGTTTTGGTACTACTATCAGCACCTTAGGTACTAATATGCACAATTTAGGGGTACATAAGATACAAATGTGTATATTTTTGAACGGTTGCCTCCCCAGTGACAGCTATTTACCTTATTTTTTTTCCTGAGAGTGCATAACGAGTAGGAATGTGTCAAGTTTACAAATGACAATTACTGTATGTAGACTCATGAGTTCATATTTTATCATTATTCTACATTTTAACACCTGCTATCTTCCTCTTTCAGATGAAAGAGAAGACATACATCATCTTTGCTGTTCTCATCTCTTTTCTGGATGCAGCCAAGTGGTACCCCAAAAGTCTGAAGTGTGATGTTTCTCTGGCTAGTAACGGGAGTGAGGTTAGCGTCGACTGCACTGAACGAGACCTAACTGAAGTTCCTTTGGGAATCCCAACGAATACCACCAATTTGACGCTAACGATCAACCACATACCCCATATTACGAACGATTCGTTTCACAAACTGCACAACATCACTGAGATCGACCTGCGCTGCAACTGCGTACCAATCAAGGTCGGGCCGAAAGACCGCGTCTGCACCCAGAGCTTGACGATTGACAACGGCACGTTCTGGAAGCTAAAGAACCTCAAGTCGCTTTATTTGGATGGTAACCAGCTGTCCAGCATACCCAAGGGCCTTCCTCCCAACATAGTGCTTCTGAGTCTCGAGGTCAATAGTATTTATTCAATCCTTAAGGAGAACCTGACAGAACTGACTAATATCCAGACGCTGTATCTCGGCCAGAACTGCTACTTCCGTAACCCGTGCAACACATCATATTACATTGAAAAGGATGCGTTTGTGCAGCTTGACAAGATGACTTTGCTTTCTCTGAAGTCTAACAACTTGTCCTACATCCCCCACAAACTACCATCTAGCCTCAAAGAGCTGTACCTGTACAACAACAATATTCAGACAATAACAGAGATGGAATTTCACAACCTGACAGAGCTGGAGATACTGGACTTGAGTGGGAATTGTCCACGTTGTTATAATGCACCTTTCCCATGCGTTCCATGCCCAAATAATGCTCCCCTTCAGATACATCCAAACTCCTTCAAAACCCTGAAGAACCTAAAGACTCTTCGACTTCATAGTAATTCTTTAACGCACATCCCTTTGGAGTGGTTTCAAAACCTAACTCAACTTAGTCTTCTAGACCTCTCAAGCAACTTTTTGGCTAAGGAGATAACATGCACCTCCTTTCCTTCGTTGTTGCCTAATCTAGAAGAGTTGGATCTGTCTTTCAATTACGAGCTCCAGGTGTATCCTGCATCCCTCAACCTTTCAAGATCATTCCATCACCTTAAATCTCTGAAGGTCCTACGAATCAGAGGGTATGTGTTTCAAGAACTCACACAGGAAGACATCCAACCTTTGGCTAATTTGAGCAAACTGGAGGTCATTGATCTTGGCACAAACTTCATAAAGATAGCACATCTCAGCCTCCTGAGGAACCTGAAAAGCTTCAAAATCATCAACTTGTCTGACAACAAGATCTCAATGCCTTCTCAAGGAGAAACTTCACTTTCTAACCACAGAGAAAACCATTACAGTTCCCCAATGTCTCAAGGTGCCCAGTACCACAATGGAGAAGTGAAGGATATCCACTACTTCCTTTATGACGAATATGCACGCAGCTGCAAATACAAGGACAAGGAACTCTGGATTTCAAGTCCTTTCAACAACAAATGTAGTTTCTTTGGAAAAACGTTGGATATTAGTAGGAATAACATATTTTTCCTTCATTCCAGATTTCTGGATCTTGGTGAGCTGAGGTGTTTAAATCTCTCTGGGAATGCCATGAGCCAGAGTTTGAACGGTTCTGAGTTTGTCCAGTTGAAGAATTTACAATATCTAGACTTTTCGGACAATCGTCTGGATTTGATGTTCTCTTCAGCATTTCAGGAACTGAGCAGCCTGGTGGTTCTGGATATCAGCCGTAACAGTCATTACTTCGTAGCTGAGGGTTTAACTCACATGCTGAATTTTACAAAGAACCTGGGTAAACTGAGCAAATTAATCATGAATGATAATCAAATCTCGACATCTACGAACACAGAAATGGAGAGTTTTACTCTGGAACATTTGGAGTTTAAAGGGAACCGTCTTGATATGTTGTGGAGAGATGGAGACACGAGGTACGCCAACTACTTTAAGAAACTTTTGACCTTGAAGTCTCTTGATATCTCTCGCAACAACCTGAACTTCATCCCACTAGAAGTTTTTGAAGGTCTTCCAGAGACCCTCACAAAGCTGTACATCACTAACAACCGGTTGAAGTCATTTCATTGGGAGGGCCTTGTGTACCTAAAAAACCTAAAACTGTTAGACCTCAGTGGGAATCACCTGACGGATGTTCCTGCATGCTTGTCTAACTATACGAAATCAATCGAAACTCTGGTTCTACACAAGAACAGCATTGTAAAACTGACTCCCAATTTTCTCAAGGATGCATTCAGCCTCAAGGTCCTGGATCTCAGTTACAATCGCATCCAGTTCATCGAAGAGTCGAGTTTCCCGGAAAATGTTATAGACCAGCTGCAGACCCTTTACTTGAACAACAACCGGTTTGTGTGCTCCTGCAATGCCACGTGGTTTGTCCGATGGATCAACAGGACGTCCGTGAACATCCCGCGCCTCGCAACGGACGTCACCTGCGCTTCACCGAGTGCCCAAAAAGGTCAGAGTGTGATTTTCCTCAACATCCAGGCCTGCCAACACAATTCCCTATCCATCATCCTCTGCATTTTACTGACCTCTGTGATTCTTAGCATCCTCACGCTCACCATCTCCAGCCATCTCTTTCTTTGGGATGCTTGGTACATCTACCACTTCTGCTTGGCCAAACTCAAGGGATACCGCCGGCTGTCCTCCAACAGCACCGTCTACGATGCCTTCGTGGTCTACGATACGACTGATCTAGCTGTTCACGAGTGGGTCATGCAAGAGCTTCGCATTCACCTGGAGGACAAGGGCGATCCGAGGATGCAACTCTGTTTGGAGGAGCGGGACTGGGTTCCTGGATGTCCCCTCATTGAAAACCTTTCCCAAAGCATACAACTGAGTAAACGCACTGTTTTCATTCTGACTGGACGATACATCAGGAGTGGGAGCTTCAGGACAGCATTTTATTTGGCCCACCAGCGACTCATGGATGAAAGGAATGATGTTATCGTACTGATATTCTTGGAGAAAATGCCTTGTCAATCCAAGTATCTCAGACTGAGAAAGAGGTTGTATAAAAAATCAGTTCTCGAGTGGCCGAGGAACCCTCAAGCACAGAGGTACTTCTGGTTCAGTCTCAGAAATGTCATGGCAACTGAGAGTCAGCAATACAACAAACTCTTCCAGGAAACGCTGTGATTGGGACACACTCCATGGACTTGCTGACACATTGGAAGCTTTGTAGCTTCATTTCTGCATTTGAAAGCAATGAAACATATAACCTTTAACATAATGTTGGTAGACTTTGTTTTATTGTCCATATAACTACAAATAAACAACAATGGAGTTTGTTGAAAAATACACTTTCATTCCTGGGTAGCTGACATATATTTGGAAAGTTGACTTGCAGTCCTGCAGTGTAACATATTGTGCTTCAACTAAAACAGCATTTTGCTTATTCTTTATTATGTATGCAGATTTTACAACCATAATAATAATAATAATAATAATAATAAAATGAATATTAGTGATATTACTGCTTTTATTTTATTGAAAATTTTACTGTTTTAATCATTATCATTATTTTTGTTATTATTATACATAGCAGTGTTATTTTATTATCGTTGCAATACTATTATAGCTTATTAATGCTTTGAATTAGCTTTTATTTTTAAATATCCTGTTTTAATTTTAATTTTAAAGTTTTATTAATTTTGTTGTCTGTTTTTGCC